AAAAAAAAAAAAAAAAAAGAAAATGGACTGTCAAAGACAATTTGATTCAGGCTTGGTGCCTATAGCTCAGTGGTTAGAGCACCGGCCACATACACCGGGGCTGGTGGGTTCAAACCTGGCTCAGGCCTGCTGAACAGCAATGACAACTACAACAAAGAAATACCTAGGCGTTGTGGCAGGCACCTGTAGTCCCAGCTATTTGGGAGGCTAAGGCAAGAGAATTGCTCAAGCCCAAAAGTTTGAGGTTGCTGTAAGCTGTGATGCCAAGGCACTCTACTGACGGCAACATAATGAGACTTTGTCTAAAAAAAAGACAACCTGATTCAAGGAACCATCTATACTCCAGTGGGAAATTGGTAACTTTGAACTTAAAACTATATAAGATTTTTCTGATAAAAAGAAATTAAAGGAGAATAAATACAACCTTCATTTTTCCTCAAGTTATTAGTTAATTCATATAATCTTTCCTCTGGAGCTATTCTGAAAATTACTGAAATTCAAGAAAAATTGTATTTTTACTTGCATTTTCTATGCAGCTTTTAAAAGCTATTGCCAGGTTTTCTACTCTACCTCACTAGCAAAAGACTCTGGCCTTTTATGCAAAGAATTTCTCCATCTACTGGTATATTTCGGAATAGCTATTAAACTAAACAACCCTACCAATTCCCTTGATTTCCTGCAACAAATTTTAAGTTAATAATAACTATTTCTAAGTGTCGTTTTCACTTAATAGCCACTAGAAAAAGACTGTAAAATAAACTTATACACTAAATACAAATATTGTTACCATTATTACTATATCAGGATCTGGGAAGAGTATACCATCTTTAAGTTGTCTGAAATATAGCACATTTTGAATCTGCGTATGATCCTATGACTGGAAAGTTTTCCCCAAAGCCACAGGTACCTGTTCCCTTAACATAAGGAAAGTTGATTCGTTTATGGGCCTTGAAGGTTTCTTTGTGTACAAAGAACCACTTACTAAATTTCTTTTTTAAAGTTATTGTTAAAAATCTTGTTTAAAATGGCAGCTGTGGCTCGGCACCTGTGGCTCAAGTGGCTAAGGTGCCAGCCACTTACACCTGAGCTGGTGGGTTCGAATCCAGCCCAGCCCAGCAAACAACAATGACAGCTGCAACCAAAAAATAGCAGGACATTGTGGCTTGTGCTTGTAATCCCAGCTACTT